GTCGCTAAAAGCCTTGTTTTTTATTTTTCGGGACGACCTTTTAGCGACTATCCTCATGATGGTAGAAATTGGTTCCTAAATACCTTTTGCAACAAAATTTACACTTTTAGAAATCAAAATATTTGATCTCTAACACTCTTATATGTTGTAGTGAGGCCAGGGCTACCATTTCTTTTGCAACTCATGGGGCTATGCCAATCGCCAATGCAACAAAACAAGCGCATGACCGATCTCACAAATCTACCGTTATTTCCACATCCAAGGCAAAGAAAAAGGAAGCAGGGAGCTTGAAGCTACTTACTTTTGTCTCAGAAGATTCACTGCCAGAAGGTTTCTCTCTACATTCAACTCCCTTAGTTCTTAACGCAAACTCAAGCATGGATACACACTCATGGTCATCTCCTACTAGTCCGAGGAATTTTGTCTCTCCAAGTCACTTCATTTCATCATGTTTAATGGCTATGCAAGTCATGATTACTGGCACTGCTTCGATGGAGAAACAACTGGCAACAATGGCTCGTGATATTGAAAAACTCACCAAGACTATTGAAGAGAAATATCTCCCAATTGCTTCGCTAATGAACAAGTTAGAAGCCCAAAATGTTGGCGAAACAAGTCAAGACAATTCTTATCCACCTTGCTTTACACCGCAAGCCACACTTGTTGGAAATGTGGACCTTACATCAAACTCCAAACAAGTCGTTGGTGATGAGACTCACCATACATTTGTTGCAAAGCAAGCAACTGGTCCATGTGTTCAACTCATTTCTATTGTTTCATTGTCTATCCAATAACTACAAGAAATGCTAGCAAACGCAATCAGAGCCCAGTACAGTGGTGCCCCTCAAAGCACTCTCATGTACTATAAGCCTTACACAAGGCGGGTGGATAGTCTCAAAATGCCAATCGGTTATCAACCTCCCAAGTTCATGAAGTTTGATGGAAAGGGTAATTCAAAGCAACACACCGCCTACTTTGTTGAAACATGCAACAGTGCTAGGATAGAAGGAAATCTCCTTTTCAAGCAGTTTGTTTGATCCCTCAAATAAAATGCCTTCGATTGGTACACTAACTTGGAGCCTGAGTCAATTGATAATTGAGAACAATTGGAACGAGAATTCTTAAATCGATTTTACAACACTCCCCAAACTGTGAGTATGGTGGAATTAACTAACACTAGGCAATTGAAAAATGAGTTTGTGGTGGATTACATCAGTCATTTGCGCGCTCTAAGCTTCGACTACAAAGACCATCTCTCTAAGGTCTCCGCTATTCAAATTTAAGTTGTTTTTAGTTAATAAATTATAAATATAAGTTATGTTAAACAGTCTGCCATATATTCTCAAATTAATTAAATTATAATAAACTTTTTTAAACTGTAACACCCAACCCGAATGAAGAGATTTGGCTTTGTTTCTTCTCATTTTTTTGTTTATATAAGGTGGTGGGGCTTTTAAACTTTCAAATTCTCTATTGTAATCTTCTATCTTGATACAACTTAAATGAGTTGATTATAATTTATTTTAATTTAAAAGTCTGTGTCAAATTATTTAGTACAGTTTCTACTTACCTGAGTCAATTGATAATTGAGAACAATTGGAACGAGAATTCTTAAATCGATTTTACAACACTCCCCAAACTGTGAGTATGGTGGAATTAACTAACACTAGGCAATTGAAAAATGAGTTTGTGGTGGATTACATCAGTCATTTGCGCGCTCTAAGCTTCGACTACAAAGACCATCTCTCTAAGGTCTCCGCTATTCAAATTTAAGTTGTTTTTAGTTAATAAATTATAAATATAAGTTATATTAAATAGTCTGTCATATATTCTCAAATTAATTAAATTATAATAAACTTTTTTAAACTGTAACACACAACCCGAATGAAGAGATTTGGCTTTGTTTCTTCTCATTTTTTTGTTATATAATGTGGTGGGGCTTTTAAACTTTCAAATTCTCTATTGTAATCTTCTATCTTGATACAACTTAAATGAGTTGATCAAAGTTTATTTTAATTTAAAAGTTTGTGTCAAATTATTTAGTACAGTTTCTACTTACTTTTTTTATCCAATAATATATAAATTAGCTAATTAACTGATTGTTAGAAAGATACAAGAAAAAAAATTAACTTAAATATTTTAATAAACTAATATATTGTTGAATTTAAAAAAGTGAGTCTAATTTAATTTAAAGTTACATTTTTTTAATATATAAAATATGAGGGCTTTTTGGTCTTTCAAATTCTCTATATTGTAATCGTCGGTCTTATTGCTACTTAAGACTGCTTGTAACTTATTTTACTTTGATACTACGACATGTTTGGTACATTGTAAATTAGCATGTTATTTATGTGACATATGACATATTGTGGTATTGGTTATTGAGAGGGTAATTTTTGGGAAAAATTGGGCCGAGCTGAGAGTTGGGCATTAAGGCCCAAAACGCGTAGGACTGCGTAAAAAGGTCGTACTGAATACTCCGACCTAGAGGGCAAGGTTATTCCGGCCTTGGGGAGACAGAGTTACTTCGGCCCAAGGAGGTGAGTTACGTTTGTGTTTTCAGGTGACAAAGCGACGTCGTACGGAGGAGCGTGGACTTGGTCAACAGGATTATACGAGGAGAATTATTTCTTCCCCGTACAGTTATAATATTATTTTGATTGTGATTTAAGAATTGTTTAATTATATCTTATGTGATATTTGGTTATAACTCAATATTTTTTTTAGTTATGACTCTCATAGTATTGAGTTATGACATTTGTATTAATCAAGCTCACAAATAACTTAACTTGTATAGTATACACCATTTTGATGGTCTATACTGTACTTTACTTGCGAGCCTGCATGAGGATGTTTAGTATAATTTTTTTTACTTATAGTTTATTAGATGAAAATAGTTTAAATAAATTAAAAAAAATTGATTATCTAAACGTTATGAGAGGAGTATTTTTTTTTATTTTTTTTTATTTTATGAACACTTTTGATTATCAACTTTAACTTATAGTAAGTTGCACCAAATAAACTATTTGTACTGTGTTTCGATTTTCCTTAGTGAAAAATAATTAATTATCAAAAAGTTGAGCTCAAAGAAGAACAAATTATAGTTATAGTCTTAGGTTGTTTAGTATAATTTTTTTTACTTATAGTTTATTAGATGAAAATAGTTTAAATAAATTAAAAAAAAAAATTGATTATCTAAATGTTATGAGAGGAGTATTTTTTTTTTTTTTTTTATTTTATGAACACTTTTGATTATCAACTTTAACTTATAGTAAGGCCTCGTTTGGGAACAGGCTAATTAAGTAACTTTTTGGCTATTTAGCTAAAATATGAGTTAAAAAAAACTAGTATGTTTGGGATGACTTTTTGGCTTTTTACGAAAAGATGTGCAAAAAGTAAAGAGAAAAAAGAATCTTTGACTTTTTGGTATGGATTGTTGGCTTTTTGGCTAATTTAGTAACTTTTTGACTTTTTGGCTAAAATGGAGGGTTCCCAAACGGGGCTTAAGTTGCACCAAATAAACTATTTGTACTGTGTTTCGATTTTCCTTAGTGAAAAATAATTAATTATCAAAAAGTTGAGCTCAAAGAAGAACAAATTATAGTTATAGTCTTTGTAATCACAGTGATTACACTTATCTCCTCAACCGTTATTGCCATCACCGACAACAATCCCAGCCTTCTTCCCATCTTTTCCTAACTCCCTTAGCCACCCTCTAACCCCTTCCCCATTTTCAACCGACACCTTTCTTGTCCCTCTTCAAATCCTCGGTTAGCCTCCTAGATCTTTCCCACCCTTGGCAATAACCACTTTCACAAATGCCACCACCGTAACCCCTCTTCACTAGTGTCATCTCCGCATTGTTTTCATCATCATTCTCATGCTGCTTCTTTTTCTTCTATAAGCCCTATATCTATTGTTTCTCTTTTTCATACAAGGATTGAGGTGAGTGAGGGATTTGTAGTAAGGAAATGGGACTAGAAGAATGTTTGCAGTGAGAAGGGGATTGGGTTGGAAGTTCATGACGGAGAAAAAGAGTCATAAAAGAAAAGGGCTGGGGAAGTGGGTAATGATGGATTGGGGATAGTGGCCAGAAATAGTGGTGGTAGTTGGTGGCTAAATGGAGATAAGGTTAGAGTTATGGAGTCCAGATCGTCTGCCGTGGTTTCCTGCGGTGGCTTCTTCGGCGGTTCAAAACGACGTTGTTTTGGACTTTTTTTTTTTTTTTTCTCTCTTTGCTGTTAAGCCTCTCTTTCACTTCCTCTTCCTCTGATCTACTCCAATGGTCTCAGATTTGTTCTGATATGTGATACATATACATACACTTGTGCTCAACAAAATCAAGTGGTTTGATTCATGAAGTATTTTTTTTGAAACATACACTTGATTTGAAAAAAAATAAGTGGGTTTGATTCATGAAGTGTTTTTTTTTTTAAACATACACTTGATTTGAAACACTTGATTTGAAAAAAAAATCAAGCGTTTTTCTTGGCAAAGATCATCTATGTTTTTTTTTTTGGAACATATAAATCATTCACGAATTTTATTTTATTTTTTTTGGATATATACATGTGCTCAACAACTTGATTCTTCCTCTGTTACAACTTGTTTTCAAATCAAGTGTATGTATACATATATGTGTGTGTGTGTGTGTGAGAGAGATATATATATATATATGGATAACAGAGGAAGAGCTAGTTGTAGATAATTTTACAATTTTTGTTAATGGTGCTGAGTTAAATCCATTCTATGGCCATCCATCTTCATCTCTGTGTGTTTGGGTGAGAGATGAAAGAGAAGAAAAAGGGGACATCCTTTTGGACCAATTTTTTTTTTTTCCCCCCTTCTTCTTCTTCTTTTGCTGTTAAGCCTCTCTTTCACTTCATCTTCCTCTGATCTGCTCCAATGGTCTCAAATCCGTTCCGATCTGCATCGCCTTCAGATTGGCAAAGATCCTTTGCCGAAAAAAAAAAGCAAGTGGGTTTGATTTGTGATCTGTGTTTTTTTTTTTAGGAACATACAAGTCATTCATGAAGTTTTTTTTTTTTTGTTGGATATATACATATATTTGAAAACAAAGTGGGTTTGAAAACTTCAAGATCAGATTTATGAAGTTTAGATTCATATACAATTTCAAACTCATATCAATATTTGAAAACAATTTCATATATATATATATATATATATATGTATGTATGTATATGTATACATATATGTGTGTGTGTGAGAGAGAGAGAGAGATGGATAACAGAGGAAGAGCTAGCTGTAGATAATTTTGCAATTTTTGTTAATGGTGCTGAGTTGAATCCATTCTATGGCCATCCATCTTTGTCTGTGTGTTTGGGTGAGAGATGAAAGGGAAGAAAGAGGCTTAACAGCAAAGAGAGAGAAAAAAAAGTCCAAAACAACGTCGTTTTGGACCGCCGCAGGAGACCCCGCAGGAAATCACGGCAGACGATCCGGACTCATTCATTGATTGAATGCAAATTTCAAACAAAGAAATAACATTGTATTTGGATAAAGATCTCAATAGAAATTTGACAATAAAAGAGAAATAAAAAAATAAAAAATTTAACTCATATTTTATTAACAATTGTCTCACAATTTTCTCTTCTTTTTTTTCCTTTTTTTTTCTTTTTTTAAATTCATACCTAAATCTATGATTCAAAGAGCTTGATTTGAAAAAGAAAAGGGAACTTAGGTAGATTTTTACCTCTCAAACAATGTCGAGAATAACCCGATCTAGATATGAACAATAAAATTTCAACACCATCAATTTTACTCAATTCGGAGTCATGGTGAGATAGAGATATTCAACTTTGGATGAAGGATGTACAGAAAAGAAAATTCTGCAGAAACATGAAAAAATCATGAAGGAGACAACTCTTTGCTTTAATCCTGTATTGATGCTAAGAAGATCTACGAAAATATTCACAGAAAAGAGCACATAATTTAGATAAATAAGTCCACAAAATAAAAAGAGATACCTCTAAGATCCCAAGATTTTAGCACCATGTGAGATTTTAAATATCTTTCCTTGTCACCAACAAGATTCACAAGAATTTCCAAATCAATTTTCTTCAGCTTTCAGTAGCTTAATGTCTTACCAAACCTCAACAATAAAAAAATGAAAACTATCAGCTTTTGCATAGTGTATTTATCAAATTGAAACAGAACATGATCACCCCCATAAAGAAAGAGAAATGAAACAATAACTATCAATCAAAGTTCTGATGTAAAAGTTTATAGTGGTTTGTTTAAATGAAGGATGAGGTGAAACAACAATAATTTAAGTGAAGAAAGCTCACCTTAGCTTTTTGCTCACCTACCTGCAGATCTTGCAAATTATAATAATGAATAGAAGAGGACATATTGGCCTCGTTTGGGAAGTGGCTATTTTAGTAGGCTATTTTAGTTTTTGACTATTTTAGTAGGTTAAAATTTTTGTGTTTGGGAAGATGATTGGATTTTTTTGTGGTTGGATGTGATGTTTGTAAGAGAAAAAGTGAAATGATTATGAGTTTGATGTGATATTTTGTCTTATTAGCTATTTTAGTCTATTTTGTTTTTTTGTGATTTTTAGCCTAAACTAGGCTATTTTTTTTCTTCCCAAACACCCCCATTATAGTGGTTAGTAAAGCGACTAAATTTATCAATCGCCTTGTTTGGTTTGGTTTGGTTGATTTTAGGTGATAAATTTTCAAAAAAAAAAAATTTGAGAAAAGAGTTTAAAAAAAAATTTAGTTTGTTTGATTGTATATTTTGGAAATAGTTTTTGAGTATGCGAGTTTGGGATGATTTAATATTTTGTTGTAGTTAAGTAGATGTGTGTGTGCTTGAAATAATGATTGAGAAAGAAAGAGGAGTGAGAAAAATTACGGGTGTGTTTGGTAACGTTTACGTTTTCAGTTTATATTTATAAAAATTTTATAAACTGATTTTTGTTTATTTTTTGTTTATTTTTAGAAAAAACATAAACTACAAACTCGTTCGGTAATTGACAAAATGTTTAAAAAATTTTAAAAATATAAAAAAAAAAAAGTGAGAAATGACAAGTGGTGGTAAGTGGCGGCGAAAGACGATGGTGGAAAATGGTGACGGTGGGTGGCGGGTAGCTGGTGGAGAGAGAGAGATGGATAACAAAGGAAGAGCTAGCTGTAGATAATTTTGCAATTTTTGTTAATGGTGCTGAGTTGAATCCATTCTATGGCCATCCATCTTTGTCTGTGTGTTTGGGTGAGAGATGAAAGGGAAGAAAGAGGCTTAACAGCAAAGAGAGAAGAAAAAAAAAAAAAAGGTCCAAAACGATGTCGTTTTGGACCTCCGCAGGAGTCACCACAGGAAACCACGGCAAACGATCCGGACTCTAGAGTTATGTGGAGGTAACATTGAAAATAATTGGGGTGTAAAAAGGAAAAAAAAAATTTAAATTTTAAAATAGGATGTCTAACAAAATTTTTAGAGAGCATTTAGAGACACTCAATCCTTAATCATTTTGAAAAAAAAAAAGTGAGAGACATATTTTGTCTATTGATTTCATTCAAATTTCTAAATATATATTATCAATTTGACTAAATTAACATACCGTTAAAAATTTAATGATAAAATTAAAATAACTATAATTCAATAAATCATTTGAAATAAGTACACATCATGAATTGAGAAGGGTTTGATTTGATCTACTGGGGGGTTGAGGGTGGCGTGGGTCTTGAAAAGAGTAAATTGTACATTTATCTTTTAAAAATTACTTAAAATATGAATTATTTTTTGTAATTTTAGAAATTACATTTTATTCTTTTAACTTTTTAATTGCATAACAAATGACTTTTTTTTATCAATAAATTATCAATTCAATTAATACTTTTTAATGATATTATAAATAAATTTCAATTAATAATTTATATAATTTTATTATTGTATAGAAGGGTAATTATGAATTTTATTTTTTCATGTTATTCTATTAAATAATTTTTTTTGATAATGAAGTATTTGTAATTTTTAGAACCACAAGAAACAATTTATATCTACCTACTATTTACATTATTTTTGATCATTTTAATCTTATTAAAATAGAGATTAGTCTAATATGTCCAAAAAAAATTTTTTTGAAGCTAATGGTATTTATTTACCCTTATTATTAATAAGGGTAAATTACAAATACGCTTTTGAAGTTTGCTTAAAATTTGCATTGTCCTTTGTGATTTGAAAAATTATAAATACCACATTCTCAAAAAAAAAAAAATTATTTAACAGAAGTAACTAAAAAATGAAATTCTTAATTGCTCTCTTTTACATTAATAAAATAACTTGAATTATTAATTGAAATAAATTTTTAATATCATTAAAAACTGTTAGTCAACTTGATAATTTATTAATAAAATTAGCCATTTATTATGAAATTAAAAATTTCAAGGAGCGAGATGTAATTTTTAAAATTAGAGGCTACATTATATTTTTAAGCAAACCTAGTAGTGGAGCAATTCTCCTATCTTTCAAGAATTTCATGTTGAAAGTGTGTCCAATCATTAATAAGAGACTAGATGAATAAATGACAGAGGTACCCTAATAACTAATACGAATAATGAGAGATGTACTCACAGTCAGGCTGTGCAAAATACTGCTAAATCCGCTAAAATTGCACCGATCTGCATCAATCTGCATTACTCTATTCGCTAACCATGGTTTAAACTTTAAAATTTATAATCCACATTCGAAACCGTTTTGCTCCGTTTTAGTTAACACATAATGAGTGTGAGAGAGATTTAAGATGTGAAATTTATTATAAATTAGTAATTATATATATACAAAATATTATGTAAATTAATATTATATATTATGCAAAAACTTGATAATTGGTTAATATATTTTTCAATTTATCAATATGTTCAAAACTACTCAAATCACAATTTATTAATCTACTAATCTAATATTCAATTTATAATTGAGTTATGCTAGGGACCCCGAATATTCTACCAAACCTTTCATGTGGGTGTGAGATCCACACACATATAGATTTGTGTGAGTCACACCCATGTGAGAGATTGAATAAAATATTTGAGGTACATAACATTTCTCTTTATAATTTTAATTTCAAACATTCCACGCGGCACCCGGACACTTTAACTCACAGCCACAAGAAGAAAACCATGAGGCCCCTTTTGTTTTGGGGTGTGGAGGGTGGAATGAGATTAAGATGGAGGTGGGACCCATTTAGTGTTATGTTTGTTTGTAGAGTTAGTGAATAGATTAGGATGGATGAGAGGATTACGATGGAGGTTAGAAGGGGAATTGAGATGGAAGAGGTGGAGGTGGAGGTGGTATTAGAAAAATAGTGAAAGGACTATAAATTTTTTTATTTTTTTTTATTTTTTACATGTTAGACTTTTTTTTTTTAACATTAATGTTCCCAAACCAAGCTTTTAAGCCCAGGCTAAAATAGCCAAAAAAGCCAAAAAGCCAAAAAGCCAACCCACTTCCCAAACGGAGGCTTAGTGAATAGATTAGGATGGATGAGAGGATTACGATGGAGGTTAGAAGGGGAATTGAGATGGAAGAGGTGGAGGTGGAGGTGATATTAGAAAAATAATGAAAGGACTATAATTTTTTTTTATTTTTTACATGTTAGACTTTTTTTTTTTAACATTAATGTTTAATTTTTTGTATTTTTTTATTTGTTTTATTATTTTATATAAAAATAATTTAACAATTCCTACATTAATAATTATCATCAAAATAAACATAATTTTACTTCATCCATTCACTATCAATTCATTCACTATTAATTTGCTCAGTATAATTTCCGTCCATCCTATTTCAAAAAACAAACAAGGCCTAACAACCACGAGGCTCATGACTTGTGACTGAATAGATAGATTTATTGGTTTATCTACATAAATTGGGTTGGTAGGTAGCAGTAAAGTCCTCCCCCCCCCCCCCCGCGTAAAAAAGTCAGGAAAAAAAACCCCCCCCCCCCCCCCCCCCCCAAAAAAAAATCTTACAAAAAAAAATGTGTTTTCTTTTGGCAAAATTTAAGGTCAGCGTATATGTAAAAAAAATAAGAAAAATATTTCGATTTCTTTTGGAGATGATCCCTATACTCTGAAAGTAATTATGATTCTCTATATATGTGAGGGGTCTACTCATGTATATGTAGAATTCATATTATGGATAATTTAAATTTGTAAAAATCTTGTAGGAGTCTTGTAAGGGTGGAGGCCTCAATCATTGTTCAAGAAATAATTATAGATCAGTAAGAAATTTTATAAATATTAACAATTAAATGTTTAAATATTTTCATTAAATTGTAATAATTTTGTGGGGATATCACTGAATGGTAATTTTCCTTCTTTTTTTATTTTTATTTTTTAGGAGTAAATTACATTGACTTTTCCGAAATATAAAAAAAAAATATGACATTTTTTTCTTTATAATTTTGACATAAGTATACTAACTTTTTTTTTTCCCCCAGTAATGTTAAATGAACTAGAATTAACGCAAAGTGTGAAAATATAAAGATAAATAACGTAAAATATATATTTTGTGTAAAAAATGTGATTTCATATTTTTTTTAGTTTTTTTTATCTATAGCTAACAAATTATTTTACGTGTTATATAAATTAAAATCTTAAAGAATCTCAATATAATTATATTAAAATTGTGAAAATTACTATATTTTATTTAAAGTCTGAAGAAAAATAAATATAATTTACTCCATTTTCAACTGAAAAATTGCAGATCAAAGAGCTACAAATAATTGGAAAAACATGGGAATATGATGCAATTACACATATCATGAAATCTAAAATAAATAAATAAAATAAAATTGCTAAAACATGACGGTTTACATTCTTGCCCCTATACTTACTTATCTCTCTCTCTTTCTCCCTTGTCACTTCCTTCTTTTCAAACATTTTAGTCGCGGCTACCCCTTTCGCCACATCTCCCACCTACTGCCAGGCCAACCTCCACCAATCCTTTCCCACCCGAGCCCCCTTTTCACTTTCAGCCCATTTCCCCTCTACACCACCGCCACCACCGAAAATATATTTTTATTTCTAAAATACATTTAAATTAGGTGCTTTTTTTAAAAAAAAATTAAACAAAATATGACTTTATTTGAAAACTTAACTATTTTAATTGACTTTTAAATTATTTGAACGTGTTTAAAAAAGTTGTGTGTGGGAACATAATTGACATTTTTTTTAATAGTTAATTTGATAATTGTGAAAAAAAAAATAAAATAATTATGATTTAAATGTTATATTTTGTCTTTATTGATTATTTTAGTCTCCAACCCTTTTCCAAAAAGTCATTAAAAACCAAAAAAGATAAAAATAAAATTAAAAAAATCAAAAAA